GATATTTATGTATTGATTGTGTGATTACGGGTGGGTTAAGGCGGTCCTTCTTTGTGCTCAAGGCCAACAGACCCAGGGCAGCCCAGATAGACTGAAGACCCATCGGGGCGTACCAGTCAGGCCGAAGGCCCGAAGAATGGTCCAGACAGGCTGAAGGCCCGATAGGGCGGACCAGACATGTTGAAGGTTCTGAGAGTGGGCCAGATAGACTGAAGGCTCGGTGAGGGTGGTCCAGTCATACTGAAGACTCTATATGCATGTTGTTTGTGATGATATTGTTCAGGTTTGTATGGCGTTGGTATTTTCGGGGAACTCACTTAGCTTCGGGCTTACAGTTGTTGATTTTGTTTCAAGTACTTCGGATGATCGTAGGAAGGCGAAGGCTTGATCGTGCACCTCCTCACATTTTATGACTTTGATTTCTAGGATTCTCTTATATGAAATTATTTTTAAAACATTTTGTAATAACTAATGATTTTTGGATGTTTGAAAAAGTTTTAAATTTGCATGAATTTTATGGATGTTATAGCTAGTTTCGAAAATACTAAAGGTTTATTAGAAAATACACACCTTATGTTTATTGTAGTAAATAAACAATGATTCGTTCTTGATCTGGCTTGAGAAAACAAGCACCAGAAGTCTCGTGCATCTAATGGCTCACACCCACACCCTAGCAAATTGGAGGCTTAAGAGGAGAGAGGAGAGGATGAAGGATTTTCATTTCTACCTCTAGTAGAAGGGATGAATGAAATTATGACCCCTTTGGAGGGTTTATATAAGTGACTAAAGGAACTAGGATAAGGCAGGTTTTCTTAGATAAGCTTTATCCCTTTCCTTGCTCCCTAAGGATTCCTAGGCTTCTTTAAAGCCCAAGAAAATCCGTATAACTGTTCTAGAATTCATCCCCAACCCCCCCCCCCCCCCCTTCTTCTTGTGAGGTTCTAGAATTAGTCCTCACATTTAACATGTTAACCTTTGTAGCCCCTAAATGAAATTGTATATGTGTACTTCGTCAATCATCACTAACATAAACACATATGAATCAAAAACTCATCACACGTTATCCATGAGCAAAAGTGATTTGTTTAACGATTGTTTTTATTTGATGCCTTTGATTTTTTGGGCTTTGACACCTTTGAATTGGTGAAGGAAATTTGTATTAAAATATCAAATTCTATTTTTGAAGATAAGAATTTTCTGCAAAAACACGAAATCCCATCAATATATTTTGGGCTTAGGGCCACAACTCAGTCTATGACTATAACTACCTAACATTTGTTGATACTCGATAAAAGAATTCTAAAAAAATGAGAATACACACGCTGACATTTGCCATAGCCCATCCTACATATTCATTAGCATCATTAACTATATAGATATATTAAAACCCATGTTACTTTTGAGTATTTACCATAAAAATAATCTTTTTGTTGACACGAATAGTAGAAAAATGAAAAAAAAATTATAGGGTATTACAGAGAAAAAAGATCAACATATGATATGGATTATTGATCCATGATTAACAAATCCCCTGATACAACGATTCATATCTGATTAAACCTTAGGGGTATTGTTTGCATCTTATCCAATAACATTAAGGAATGAGGTCATTTATCAACAAAGGCCATTTAGATAAAAGGAAAAAAAACAAAACAAATAAAAAACCGCCCGGTGGTGAACCACGGGATCACCACCTAGTTTATTATCATTTCTAATTAATCTATTAATCATATAATAAATTAATAAACAAGTATCTCTCTCTCTCTTTCTCTCTCTCTCTCTCCAAATAGCAATCGAGTCAATTACTAGGCTTGAGGACAACCCAAAAGGACTTTGCTAATAATTCAAGATTATACTAATTTATTTATTGGCTTAGACACCTAATCCAACAGGTTGTTACTTGAAGAAGTTAAAGTCCTCATATATCATCCTCGTATTAAATGTTGATGTTGTGTTGATTGTTGGTTCCAACACATAGAAGATCAATGAGCTTAAGATACGGCTGACCAGAGAGTTCAAGACAATGAACCAAGGGGCTACTAAGTTGAAAAAAGTGCAGATGACTGTACTAAGGTGTTTACCTCTGAAAAGTTGAAGCCAGGCATGGCTTCATCTGCCCTTCCAAGATTTTGAGGACGAGGGTTAGCGTATAGAGGGACAGGGATTGAGAAGAATGATGAAGACTTTGTATGGAAGATGAAGTTGGTCAAGCCTTTAAGTGGGAGATTGTTGAGGTATGAATTCTTGTCCAACATGGCACATTTAGAATCAAGTGGGACGCTTAGATGAAGAATTTTGAGTTCATCTGGAGCACTTAGGACTCAATTGATCACTTGAGGTTCATGGAGCAAGTGACAAAGGAACAGATCATCTTAGATCGCCTTAGATCATCATACAAAGGAACATATCAAGTGACAAAGGAATGGATGTTCCAAAAGGAAGATTGGAGAAACTTGGAGTGGTTTGGAGCAACTTGGAGTGGCTTGGACCAACATGGAGAAACTTGGAGCACTTGGAGCACTTGGAGCAACATGGAGCACTTGGAGCACTTGGCTCAACATGGAGAACTTAGAGCACTTAGATCACTTGGAGCAACATGGAACATCATGGTGCACCGTGTAGAAGGAAGTTGTGCCATCCTTAGGGATGTTGCGCCAAATGATAGCATGATGTGTCATCATGTCTGAAGTTACGCCAAGTGAAGATGTTGAGCCATGAAGATTTTGTTGCTCCATCAAGAAGGGAAATTGTGTCATGGAGGAGAGGTTGCGCCATCATGGACCATCTTGGTAATTGATGCACCATCTTGATTCCTTTGTTGTTTCGTGTTAATCCACATATGCTTAGAAGAGGGTCATGCTCAAGAAATACACCATGTTGTGCCACCATGATTGATATTGGACCATTAGTTTTCATGATACGCCAGTTGTGCATCATGATGCTCCACTATGGTCAAGGTGGTCTATCATGTGTGTTTCTGATGCTCATGGGTTGTATGACATGGATGAATGTTCTATAATATGTTGCATGGTGGGATATGATTGGTTGTCACCACTCATGGGCCTATGGGCCAACGACCTTGGCCCATTAGGGTTTTAGGTCTGATCTCTCAAGTATAAATAGGCTAATATCTCCATCATTGTAAGTGGGTAGAAATTTCAAGAAAGTAATCATTGTGATGTTGAGAGCAGTCCTTTGGAGCAGTTAGTAAGCAATAGTGATTATTTTGTTTTGAGAGCTCAAGTGAGGTGTAACATTTGTGTGTGATTGTAATTGTTCTTGGAAGTTAATAAAATCCTCTCTCTCCCTCTCTCGTTCGCCCGTGGACATAGGTCACCTTGACCGAACCACATTAAATATTGTTTTACTTGATTTACATTTCCAGAAGTTTTATTTCCGCAAGTTCACTGAAGTTTGTTTTGATATTTGTTTGAAGTGCTTAACTTGTTTTGTTGTCTCCCAACACAAATTAACCTTAAACCTTATGGAAATTTAACTTCATGAAGACAATAATAATGTTTCTCGCATTTCTGCTCTGTGAATCTTTCAATGAACACAAATCACTCATCCTTTTCCATGTCGATAGAATCCATGTTAACCAGCCTCTGATGTATACCATAGGTGTATCGTATATGGTACTTCGTAAAGATACCTTGGAAATGCAAATAGAAAGGATGTATATTGTTTGTCATGTTTCAAGTGAAGAAGAGAGAAAGTGGAGAAAGTGTTTTCGGACGAAGGAAAAGGAGAAAGGAAAAAAGTAAGCGGTATAATCGAGACATTTCGTTTAAAACATATACCAACACAATCAAACACCCTATGTGGAGCAAAATAAATGTGCTGGCAAAGAGTTAGTCGGTTTACCCTTTTGTTTGGTTCAAAGGGATTTGGACTAGAAAAAAAAATTCAGCTTGTTCCCCCATAAAACCAAAAGAAACTTCAGAAACGATTTAGACTTCAACTTGAAACTTTGAAGGGCTATAATATCATTTCCATATATATATATATATATATAGATATATCTATATATAATATATATATATATATATATATAGGGTTAGGTTCATGTGAGACGGCCTAATTTGTGAGACCGTGAGACGCAATCATAGTCACTCATTTGTTAGATAAAAAAAACATTTTTAAAATGCAAAATAATTGAAAATTTTCGAAAAAAAAATTTCAAATATTATTTTCGGAATTTATATTTTCCAAAAAAAATACCAAAAAAATAAAAATAAAATAAGAAAAAATACTTTTTTTACATATTCTAGTAGAATATTAGAATATTCTACATATCTGACAAATCTAGTAGAATATTCTAACATTCTAAAAAATCACATTAGAATATTTACAATGTAATATCTATTATAATATTTCACGTATTTAAAAAAAAGGTACTTTTTCTTTAATTTTTTTTATTTTTTTAGGTAATTAAAGTGACGAAAATACATAAAAAAAGAATTTTCAAAATAAATTTCAAGATTTTCCTTTTAGTTTGCATTTTAAAATTATTTTTAGATTTGTCTCACGGTCTCACAAAAGTAGCATGGTCTCAATGATATATATATATATATATATAGATATATATATATATATGTATATATATAATATATAGATATATCTATATATATATCTATATATATATATCTATATATATATATATCTATATAGAGAGAGAGAGAGAGAGAGATAGGTTCAGGTATTCTAACAAAGTATTGTATTTATTGTATGCAATGATTGTGGACCAATCAAAAATTAAAGAAAAAACAAAATTAAATAAATCAATAAGGGTAACTAGGTAATTTGAGAAATAACTTCGAAAAATACTCCCTATAATTTTGCTAGTTACGTTGATTTTAACCTAATTCCCCCCTTTTATATATGACCTATGACTGATCTGATCAATCTTCATCACCGGTTTAGGATCAATCTTCATCAACGGTTGAAGACTCCTTCACGCCGACCATCCAATTGGCTACTGACCTAATTTCTCGGCGACGATGAAGAAGATACTGAAGAACCCCACTCCTGCCGTTGAAGATGCCATCACCAAATCCAAAAAGAGAACACGAAAGGTCTCTCAATCAAAACCACAACCAGCGTTTACCATCGGCGACATAGAAGATTTTCAATTTAAGGAAGACGAAGTTAAAGAAATTAGGGCATCCTTGTTGAAATGGTACGCCGTTAACCGGAGAGACCTTCCATGGCGGAGGATCAACGATTCCGATGATGAGGACAAAGATAGAAAAGCATACGCTGTGTGGGTTTCGGAAATCATGCTTCAACAAACAAGAGTTCAAACTGTTGTAAACTACTTCAATCGGTGGATGGAGAAATGGCCGACTGTTCATCACCTAGCTCAAGCTTCCATCTCAGATGTAATTTTAGTTTTAGAACTTCAAATTTTCTGTTTTTTTAAAACTGAATGCTTTTATTTTTACTTTTTGCAATTGCCCTCAACCCTATAATCACTGATATAAGGGAAAAGTTTTCATCAAATCTTTATCTCATTAGTTGAATCCAGTTACACTCTTTTAGAATTTAAGAACTCAACTTCTCAGTTCCCTCATCTATGTAACTCAGTTTCTGTTTGATAATTGATACAATTGATAGTTTGTTTGATTGGTTGATAATGATACACCATCGATGGTATTAATTATTTTCCCATGTCTTGGCTTCAAACTTCCATCTAAGCATGAATAATTTTAGGGGTTTTAAACTTGGTTTGAATCCGAATTGGATTGAAAGATTTGTTTAGTGTGCAGTAGGCAAGTTGGCTTTCAATTAGAACTGATAAGAAAGGGTTTCAATTAATATATTAGACTTAGATTTTTAATTTTGAGTTGTTTGACTATATTTCATTTTTAGTTATGTTTGAATTAGAATTGTACAAGTCTAGAACGATTAGTAAAATACATAGATGCTTTGATGCTTCTTTCATTTGGAATTAATTTGTTTATGTAGATGATTCAATGGATGATATTGGTGAGATTGCAATTCTATTGGAATGGAATTACGAATTCCAATTTTATTGGAATGGAATCATGAATTCCAATTCTGTTGGAATGGAGTATGGATATTTTCTCACTGATTTATGCATGTTCTACAATTATTGTTTATTGGTTTTGGTGCAATTCACAAGTCCACATCTTTTTCCAAAGGAATTTAGTTTTTTATTTTTCATTTGCTAATGCATTACTGGAATCTAAACTACAATTTTGTTTTGTTTTCACATAAGTTGATGCTTGAAGAACGGACCACAAAATTGAAAGTGATTCTAAGCAACATTATTCTTTTAGAATGTATTAGTGTCGTTGCTATATTTCGATGTTTTCTTTCCCGTTTTGAAAGTTTTTTTAGTTTTATTCTTTAACGATAAATGTAATTCTTAACAATTGTTACCCGTATTCTATAAGAAATAATGTATTTTTTGTTTTTATTCGTCAATTGATTGTTCAAGAATTTGTTATTCTAAAAGAAGTTTTTAAAGTCATGATCAAGAAATAGGTTCAAGAATATTTTTATTATTTATGGTTCAAGAATATTTTTATTTTTGAATATACTCATAAATATATTATGTCCGAATGTCCGAATTAAAAAAATTATAATTCGTAAAATTGGATTTTTAAAATTAACAGAATCTATGATCCCTAAAAAAATGCAATTTTCCTTTATTAAATCTATATTAATTGACTAAATTACCCTTGTAATTAATTAAGATGATATTTTTCAATTATATTTAATTCAATAATATATACTTAATCAGTTTCTTAAAATAAGTAAATTTAATTGGCCGACAATTATGCATACAATAACACAACAATTACTTTGAATAGAATAACCTAAGTCTATATATATATATATATATATATAATAATATAATATATATATATATATTATATATATCTATATATATATATATATATTATATATAGAATATGCTTTTATTCTATTTCGATTCTTTTTAATATAATTTTTTTGATTTTTTTTTAAAGTAGGCTTTTAATATTTATTAAATTTGTTGATAAATACCATTTTTATCTTTTATTATGCTTCACAATAACTTGATAATTTGTTTTTTTAGGCAAACAACTTGATAATTTGTTGTCTGAGTATGTGATGAATTAAGAAACCACTGTACAAAATGGTTTAAGACATGTATTATAATGCAAAAGAGAAAACACTTCTAAAACGAAAGCGACAAATATATAAACTCATGTTAAAAGTTAAGTAATTTCATTTCATCAAATAGGTAATCGATTTTGTTGTACATGACCTAAAACCAAGATCATGTTTGATATGAAGAAATTGAAGGATAAAGTAATAATTCATAGTGTAAGAAGTTGTTTACTTTGTCGTCGGATCGAATGAATCGATCATTCCATCGAACTTATTTTAATGGCTTTTTTTTTATGTAATTTATAATAATACATATCAATTTATAAAAATAAAAAGATATTAGTTAAAATAAAATTTAAAAAAAAAAAAAAAAAAAAAACTAGAAAATATTTGTTGTTATTATAAATTCATTTTCTATGGTTTTTTGAACAATAGAGTGATAGACCATCTCAAAGATAAATCTTTCTGATTCGAATTCAAATAAATATAATTTCTAAATGTTAAATAAATATATACCACTACTACATCGTTGTTATTTGTTAGTCCACAAAATTAAATCAATATCAATTGTAATAATTATTTATAGCATACAACACAAAAGGTATATGTTGTATATACCTGTAACACTTTAATCTATTTCGTTCGTATACGTCGACGAAATATACTCATAGAGTGTAATGTCCTCTTTTATTATTTTATTTGTTTTATTAATTTAGTAATTTCGTTTGAAATACCTACTCTACCGGCATACTTTCATACGTTTAACACTCTTTAAACTTTATTTGAAAAAAAAAAAAACTTATAAATCTTTCTTACATCATATTTATCCTTGGTAGTGGTAAAGAGGTGGGGCTTAAATTAGGGGTGAGCAAAAAACCAAACCGCAAACCGAAAAAACCGAAACAACCGTATAAATCGAAACCGACGGTGCGGTTTTTAGTTTTGCAAAAACCGAAAATGTTCGGTGCGGTGCGGTTTCTAGTCTTGCAAAAACCGCAAAAAACCGAACTGCACCGAATGTATATATAATATAGATATATATATAATATATATATATATATATATAGAAGTATTGATAATTGTAAGAACGAAGAACTCATGACAGTTAAAATTTCTATAAATATAAATATTTATCTTATCAGAGGATGATTGTATATTTTTAAACATAAATATAGTGATATTTACAAGAACAAATATGTTTATTATATTTTTTAACATCTTAATATTAAGAGAACTAGTGATAATAATATCATTTTTATGAATACATTAATTGATATTATCGTATGTACCTGTGAAACAAATATTATATTTAATTCGTATTATATTCAAACATTAGAAGCATGTTGGATGAGTGGTTATGTTATTTGATTCAAACGAAGAGGTGGTGGTATCGGTTCATCTCGAAGATATCATTTGGGCTTTAATTTTGTCAGCCTTATAAGAATATCCCTCATCGCATTTGAGATAAACATTTATCATTTTCTCATTTCATATAAGAGAGTCAAGTCTATGGATTTTAACCCACATTTTTGACGAGTCGTACACATTGCATGGCTGGGGATAAATTTGGCTCTCCTCATCTCTACATAAAGTTTCTCAAAAAATGATTAACACTTCTCATCGTAGTTAAACTAACTCGTTGAGTTACGTGAGATTTAGTAAAAAGGCAAAAAAAAAACCAAATAAAAAAAAATTGACAAAAAAACGCAGAGAAAAAACCGAACCGCAAAAAACCGAAAAAAAAACCGCAAAAACCGAACGGTGCGGTTTCTAAACTTCAAAAAACCGAAGTTGCGGTTTTTGGTTCGGTTTTGGCCAAAAACCACACCGAACCGCACCATGCTCACCCCTAGTTTAAATGATGTTTGTAACGAAATTTGATAAACATTAATAACAAAAAGTTAAAAAAAATTTAAAAACTATATTAAAAAAAAAATTAGAATAAAAGTTAAATATTTTAAAGTACATATAAGATTTTAAAATTATAACTATTTGGTAAATTTATGTATCAATATTTCAATATGTTGGTTTGTTTGAGTATTAGCACCCTTGTTGACAATTACCATTCCAAGTACTAACGTTTGGTTGTTGAAAAATTTCTAGTTTTCTAGGAAAATTTTCAAAGAAAAAGGGAAATTTTGAAAACGCGTTTGATTCGTTTAGTTTTTCAAAATTTTCCAAGAAAATGAAAATTTTCAGTTTTCTAAATTGTATGTAAATTAGAACAGTGATTTTTACAGTTTTTCAAAGTTTTCCAAATTTATAAGATGAAAAATGAAAACTCTCCCGGTTTCAACCAAACGCGTTTTCTAAAATTTTCATTGAAAATTGAAAGCGAAAACTAAACTCTATTTTTTGGAAATATTTTCTTAGAAAATGAAAACTGTTTTCCACAACAAAACGCATCATAAATCTCTGTAATGGTTGTGCTGGCCCTTGGCCTGATTACTGTCTGGTACTCTTTAATATATTTCCATTAAAAATTTAATAAATTAGAAGACGATAGTATGTAAGTTTAAGGAGTACTCCTCTAATCTACTAACCTTATGATTTAAGTTCAATTTTACGTGCCAATATTAAACCATTAAATACGAAATATCATAGCTATGTTTCAATGTATATGAGAACTTCATTAGTTTACTACGTTTGGGATTTAGGTATGGTGGTTATTCTACCTAAATTTTGAGTTGAATAAAGTATTTGCAACCTTTTGCTCCATGAAAAATATCGTCCAGGTTTTCACCTTAGTTTAACTGAATTCATAATCACATCAGTTTCTCCCTATAAATACGATTCATATCTTCAATTAATTTCAGTAAACTTATCGCAATATGGGATACCCACATTACATTTCTCTTGTTTATGTTGTTTTCGTATCATTCCTACATTTCTCTCATTCACATAATGCACCACAAGACTATGTGAATGCCCACAATGATGTTCGAAAGGTGGTTGGTATGGGGCCTATGAAGTGGGATGCAAATGTGTCTAAATTTGCAGAAAGTTATGCCAATAAAAGGAAGGATTGCGCGCTAATACACTCACACAATCCAAAATATGGTGAGAATATTGCATGGGGCACGGGAGAGTTCACGGGTTTGGATGCGGTTAAGTTGTGGGCGGATGAGAAGCGTGATTACGATTACAATTCAAACACATGTAAGCCGTTCAAGATGTGTGGGCATTATACTCAAATGGTTTGGAAAAACTCGATTCGCATTGGGTGTGCTAGGGCTAAGTGCATGAATGGTGCATGGTTTGTGACTTGCAATTATGATCCTCCTGGTAACTACATTGGCGAAAAACCTTATTAAGTAATGATCGACCTATATAGATGTATGTTAGGAAAATCAGAATGTGTTTGTGTATAGTGTTTCAATTTGAGAAAGAAAACTAGAAAAAATATGAATTTACGAAAACTGTGTTATTAACCGGCATTAATTCACTACAAGAATAAGGAGCTATGGCGATGACACCTATTACGACGATGAAAGTCGTTGCTACAAGTCGAGCTATGTTGACGACTTGTCGTCGTCATATCTTTTGCCAACGTTCACCAAATTCTTTGACCATAAGAGCTATGCCGACAACATGTCATCGCCACTGATCTGGCGGGACCGACGAAATTATTCGCAGTATTCTGAAAGCTTATGCCGACGACGTGTCGTCGGTATAAGTGACGACAAATCTAATTTCTGTTTATTTTTATTCCATGATGCAATGTCAGAACGACGGATTTTTTGTATTATTTTGAACAATGTTAAGTACTTATTATAATATTAAACTTGAATTTTATGTTTTGAATTTGAACAATGTAGTTAGTTATTATATCTCAATTGATATATGCTTCAAAG